AACGAAGACAATGTCGAACTTTGTAAGCCTGTATTGGTATTGTTTCCTTAATTTGGCTGTCAAACATTAATTTATGGTTTGAAATATGATTTTATGTAAAATAATTGATATGATACAGCCGTCTCAATTCAAATTTCTCCAATTCAAATACAGCCGTCTCAAGTTCAAATTCGTGCACATCTAAATGCCCAAAACACACATTTTCTTGCAACTCATTTTTTTAGAATGACATTAAAAAAACATAAAATCGGCTCTCACCCCGAGACGCGTCCACCCAGCCACACGACAGAACAGGGAAAGATGGCGCCCGGAAAACCTCGTCGGCTGGTCGTGTCACGAGCGCTATCTATTGGATAAGTTTGGCACAATTCGTCCTGATACAACTTGGACATGATACAACTCTCCCCGCTCTCCCCTACATGTATAAATCGGCTTGCAAAATCGTGCGAAATTGGCTAAATTTGCCCGACACTGGTCCGATCCCCGTGCAGTATCTCGGTAACCGTGGGTCCGATCGGCACGGGGAACACAGTATCGTGTAGACTGTAGAGAATCGAACAGGCTATCGAATGGTGTGCGGTGCAGGGATGGCACGCGCCACGTGCACCCGTGAGGGCACTTATGCTGGAAAATTGACGTTTCGGACAGATTTGGGACTTAATGCTATTTTCGGGTGACTGTTTGACGGAGAGGGTTCTAACAACGCCTGTTGGCAAAAGAAATGCACAGCCTCGCATGGAAAAATTGTGAAAAGCTAATTGATCAAAAACAAGGTGGAACAAATCGCTGGAGAAAATGGTATTTGTTAATGACTTACTTAATTACACAGGTTTTACTGCATAACCTGGTACGTTTGACAAATGAAAATGGCATATTTGGAAAGAGCATTCAATTTTGTCCAAAATCCAACCATCGCTTTTGCATGACGAGCAGCAGTATTCTTAAAAATATAAATGTTTCAAACCTCTACATAGTAACTCATCGATGGCTTTCATTTTTCAATAACCTTCGTCAGCCTTTGTTATAAACTACACATGACATGTTCTATAGTAGAACGCATGCTCATCAGACACCAGCACCTCGATTCGATGGATATTTTTTCCCAAACCAAAATGCATAGCCGTCAAAAAGCAATCGACCGGAATGGATACATAGCCCACGGACACAAGACCAACCAAACGCCCACCGATCGAAAATACACCTTATTCGCGTTGCGGAGCAAGCGGGTCACCCTAGCGGGCCCCATTCAACCGCGGACCCGGGCCCTATCCACAAGGGGGCGCGGGCCCTATCCATATGGGGGCCCGGGCCACGTTCACCTTGGGCTCCGGGTCCCGTCCACCCGGGGCTCCGGGCCCCGTCTACCAGGGGACCCGGGTCCCATCAATCCGGGGGCCCGGGCCCCGTTCTCCCGGGGGCCACCCGGGGGTCCGGGCCCCGTCCACCCGGGGCCCGGGCCCCATCCAACCGGGGTTCCGGGCCCCGTTCTCCCGGGCCCCGGACCCATCCACGGGGGCCGGACCCATCCACGGGGGCCCGGGCCCCATCCACCCAGGGGGCCCGGGCCCGCTCTCCCAGGGGCCCGGGCCAGTTCTCCCGGGGGCCCGGGCCCGTTCTCCGGGAGGCCCGGGCCCTTTCTCCCGGGGGCCGGGGCCCCATCCAACCGGGGGTCCGGGCCCCGTCCACCCGGGGCCCGTTCTCCCGGGGGCCGGACCCATCCACGGGGGCCCGGGCCCCTCCACCCAGGGGGTCCGGGCCCGTTCTCCCAGGGGCCCGAGCCAGTTCTCCCGGGGGCCCGGGCCCCATCCAACCGGGGGTCCGGGCCCCGTCCACCCGGGGCCCGGGGTCCGTTCTCCCGGGGGCCCGGACCCATCCACGGGGGGCCCGGGCCCCATCCACGGGGGGCCCGGGCCCCATGCACCCAGGGGGCCCGGGCCCCATCCACCCAAGGGGCCCGGGCCAGTTCTCTCGTCCGGTTGGATTAGGACCTCTCTCCTCCCTCTCTATCTCTCTCTCTCTCTCTCTCTCTCTCTCTCTCTCTCTCTCTCTCTCTCTCTCTCTCTCTCTCTCTCTCTCTCTCTCTCTCTCTCTCTCTCTCTCTCTCTCTCTCTCTCTCTCTCTCTCTCTCTCTTCTCTCTCTCTCTCTCTCTCTCTCTCTCTCTCTCTCTCTCTCTCTCTCTCTCTCTCTCGAGCGGGCCCCTGACAGAAATTTCGGGGGGGGGTCAGCTGACCCTCTGACCCCCCCCCCCTGGCTGCGCCACTGTATCTCCAAAGAGATAAAAATGTTGTTGGTTTAACTGAAGCCCAAATAAAAACAAAATTGTCTAAAAAAGGGTGGCTCTTTGCAAAGACGTGCCAGGTGCCTCCGAGACAACCTAATGGGCTTTTCTGTTTCTGAGTGCGTGTTCGAAACCGCAGGAGATGATGATGAACGGGTTTATCGAAACTTGATTGGATGAGCCTATCGGTAATAGCGATTTTAGTGTGTGCATTTATTGTTCATAGGGGTGTGAAATGTGGTTGGGGTACGACCGACAACCCGTCGGGGCGAATTTCGCACTGGGGTACTCAAAATTTGAAGAATTTAAGACATTTCCATGAGTTTTGAAGGTATGGATAAGTTCTAAAAATCCGGTTCTCCTTATCCGGGTCATTAACTCCATATGGTCCAGGAAAGCTGGCAACTATCTTTAATTGACCCGTTGAACGCGTGGCCCTACCCATTCATTTATTCATAAATTCGGTGTTAGGTATGCTTATTAAAGAATTGACGCTAAACGTGAATGGATCGTCTTTATTAAATATTCAATCATTTGCTATTTGTTTTAATTTAAGGACCGCCTAAAAGTTATTTTGGCATTCAGTTTTCACGTACTTACCCTCAAAGCAAACGAGAAGACAATTAGCCTCATTAGCTGCTTTCACGACGGGCTATCCGGTGAATGCACCCAATTTGACCAAATCTGCGCATTATCTCTTTTACAGCAAATATCTTTATTTTATGAATTTATTTTAGTGTTTGAATCGTTCATTTTCTCTGATAATATGACAAAGCAGGCATGAAAGCAATTAGTGCAAGTGATGCAACCCTAGCTGATAGCTACTAAGAGATACACTGAACCTACTTTGACCAAATCTGCACCTAATCTGCACCAGATGTGCACCAAATGTGTACCAGATGGATGTCGTGAAAACGGCTATTATCGCATACTCTATAAAGTCAGTGTTTGTTGGTAAATACTAACCTAAAATGTAGGTAATTGGACGGAAATGAACGAGTGACGCAAATGTAAATATATTGGACACGAAGTAGTTATATAGGCATAGTATAGATCACGAAGATATAGAATAAAAGCACGGCGAATATAGCACGTCTACGTGTAAAAGCAATTACATATAAGTAAGCGGATCGGTTTCGTCCATTCCTACAACTTGTTCAGCGCTTTTCAAGAACGCTGAAGAAGTCGTAGGTAGGTATATTGATGAAATCGGTCCGCTTACTTATATGCAATTGCTTTCTTAACCCTCGCATGTGTGCGGCGTTTTCCAGCTTCTAATGTGTAGGGGGGGGGGTCGGTTGGACCCCCCCCCCCTTGCCGTTTGGCCCCTGATCGAGCTAGAGCTTCGCGGAAAAAACGAGCGTGTTGCCCGTGACGAGAGGAAGCCGATGATACCCAATTTTAAGGTCCTAGGTCATTGGTTGACCTTCCAGGTCAGGTCAATGACCCAATGTCGGGAAAATCGGGACCTATTAGAAAGTCGTAAAGTGTGGCTGCTAAGGGGTTTTTCGGGGTGCTGATCACGAATATCGTGTTAGTTTTGATAACAGATGATGTCTTTAAGCATTTAGACCAGGTCGGGTCAGGTCAGGTTAGGTCAACCAGTAGGCGTCGTGACGGGTATTCGTAGTACGTGTCAACCGCCTCTGACAGCTTCGTAACATGTTACGAAGGCACCAAAACTACTTCGTAAATGTTCAAATGGTTGCTAAATTCGAATTCAGCTCCAAAAACTAGCCTAGAAACATGTAAAACTCGAAAAAAGTGAACCGAGGTCACCCGAGGTCACCAAAGGTCAATGACCTGACCTGACCTTCAGGTGACCTTGACACCCACCCTAATGCATGGGAGCAACATCACATCACATGTTTGAACGTTTGAAACCACGAAAAGCTTGCAAACGCGCGGCTAATGCGTGCCGACGTACGCCGAATCGCGATTCCGGCTAAACATGGTCTCGGAAAAGAGGTCACAGGTCAAAGGTCATTTGGGTCAGGGTCATGAAATTTTCAGGGTAGGTGTAAAATTGATCAATGCGAGGGTACTGAAAGTTTCGTCGCGATCGGCCGCTTTTTACGCGAGTTATTCGCGAAAAACCATGGGGGGGTCCATCCGACCCCCCCCCCCCCCCTACACATGCGAGGGTTAATATATTCGTAGACTACTTGCTCTATACGAGTGACGCAAAGATAGGCCGTTTGTCGCGAGTAAAACAAACTGACGGAACTGTGAGGGACCAGCATCCGTAGTTCGATTTCCCTTGATCTGTACATTGCACAATGGCCATTTCCTCATATGGGGTTAGGTACTTGTAAATAAACAAGCGCAATCTTTACGTCTACCGTCAGCGCTGACAGGGGATATAATTTATGGAACGGTGGACACTCTGATAGCCGCTTGCCTCAGGCTGCTGATCAGGTATTTGCTGGTTTAGCGTCTGGGTGTATTTGTGTGGTGGGATCACGGTGTATTTGTTCAGGACACCCTGGGGCGTTGCGGTGCGACAGCTGTTAGAAGCGCTGACAGCGGGGCTAACGAGGTGCATGCCAGCACGTGGAATCATGTGGGCAATATATTACGAAGATTATCAATTTAGTCGAACTAACCGAAAAAGTATGTAGCAGATGAAAAAAAATCCAAAGCTAATGGCGAATCTAACGATTCGTTTTTTTTTTCCTGCATTAGCAGCTGAATTTCATGTTGAATGCGCATTCTAACAAATCTCATGCTGAACATATATTTTGTTAACAGACTGCAAATCAACATAAGCAAACAGACACAAGACACACAGGAAGCACAACACGACTCCTGTCAAACTAGCGACTGCTAGCACACCCAACACATCGAATACCGTCTTCGGTCAGCCAAAGTCAGCGAGGTGCGGCCTCTAGTCGATTGCTAAGGCGCCTCTGCGGTCCTCGCAGCAGACCTGTCCGTCCCGTCCAGCGAAGTGTACTCTATCGGCGGCTGTTGAGACGCCTCTGTCCTCACTGGCCGACCGCCGAGGCGCCCCTCCAGCCCTCTCAGCAGACCTCTCCGTCCATGGCGGTCTTGTCGATCCACCCCATCAGCTCCGTCACACGGACATACACCCCCGGATAGCCAGGGACGGCGCAGCCCTTCCCGAACGACACCACGCCGATCTGCGTGGCGCGGCCTCCGGCGCTGCTGACCAGCGGCCCTCCCGAGTCGCCCTGACACGAGTCCTTACCGTACTCGGCCGCACACAGCATGTTCGCGGTGATGGAAGAGGCTCCGTAGGCGGCCGCGCACTCGGCGTTGGTGACGGTGCGTACAGTGACACTGTGGAGCACGTCCGGCTGACTGCCGCCCGACTTCAGCGTGCCCCAGCCGGAGACGATCGCCGGCACGCCGGCGTACAGGTCTCCGCCGCGCGGCAGGCACACGGGCCGAACTCTGTCGCTGAAGGCGATCTCCTCCGCCAGCTCCAGCAGCGAGATGTCCAGGTCGAACGCGGCCGCGCTGTTGTACTCTGAGTGCTGCCGGATACCAGAGACCTTGATGACGCGCGCGCCGGCCGTGCCGCCCACCTCGTGCAGCCCGACAGCGACGGTGATGTTGATCGGGTTGAGGCCGTCCGTGCAGTGCGCCGCCGTCATGACGAACCGCGAGTTGACGACCGATCCCCCGCAGAAGACGAACCCGGTGCCGTACTTGGGGTTCATCAGGCCCACCTGCCAGGGGAACGAGTGCGCCGGGCTGACCTCCGTGCCGCCGACGATGCGGTTTCCGGCTCCGCTGCGGCCGCAGCAGCCGTCCCGCACCTCGACCTCGCAGCTGAAGCCGCGGTCCGTCACCGTAGCGTCGCTCTTGAACTCGATGCGCAGCCAGCTGGCGGTGACGGCGGCCGGTCCGTCCGCGCCGCAGAAGCGCCGCCCGTTGACGGAGAGGTAGTCCCAGACGCAGCCGTGCGAGGAGGCCGGCCCCTCCAGCTGGAAGTCGGAGCAGGTCAGGGTCAGGCTGGCCGTGCCGCTCTGCGGGCGCAGGTTCCACGTGGAGAGCTTGTTGACGGCGTAGTTGTTCGGGTAGCTGTCCGACTTGAGCTGGTGTTTCCCGACGGGGAGGGTGTAGTCGCTTCTCGAGGTCGGCTCGTCCGCCAAGTCGCGCTGATCGAAAGGCTTGATGTGAGGCTTCAGCTCGATACGCGGCTGGATGTCGGCTCCTCCTCGACCTTCGAGTGTGGACTCCCGGGCAGGGTCCTTCGAAATTCGGCCAGAGCCCGAGAACATTGGCTTTCTCGCTGTGGTACCGTACGCTGGCCTTCTGGGCTGCAAGTCGTCCGAACGCCCAACCAGACGGACCTTCCAGTCGTGGGTCTTGGGTCCCTCCAGCGGTTTCCTAGCGTCATTTTCTTCTGCCTTGGGTCCCTCCATCGGTTTCCTATCGTCATTTTCTCCAGCCAGTTTCAGTCCCTCGTTAAGATGAGGGAAGGAAAGATGAGTCCCACGAGCGTCCATTTCATGTTCTCTCGACTCGGAGCTCGCAGAGTTGATCCTGTCGTTTCTTGCTGCCCTCTCGATCTGGGCTCCTCCTCTCTCGATCTCCGCTCCTCCTCTCTCGATATCAGCTCCGCCCCTCTCGATCTCAGCCCCTCCTCTCTCTATCTCAGCTCCTCCTCTCTCGATCTCCGCTCCTCCCCGCAGACCCCCATCTCGGGTCTCCTGCAGGTGCCCTCGACCACCGGGCCTCGGTGGAGGAGACGCCGCCCCTATGGCGACCAAAGCCGCCACCAGCAGCACCGCCACCGAGCGCAGGCCGACGGCAGCCATCCTGCAGAGCCGATGCTGAGTTCCCAAACCGCAGCCGATTTATACTGGGAGCAAACAAAGGCGACTGGCAGGTCGCAGCTGGTGGTCATTGGAGCGCAGACCTGTCGAGGATAACCACCGGTTGTCGCGGCGAAGCCGACGCATCCGCGACACCGGGGCGCGGGCGACGCGACGTCTAATGCCACTCGTGTCGACCGTATGTGTGCGGATGGCACATGTGGTGTGCTTTAGACGACACTTTGACATGATCTATTGTGATCTTGTATGGCATTGCGTGATTTCTTTTGACTTGCTGGCAATGCGAAGGGACACTATCGTGGGTTCGGCCTGGCTATTCTAGCACATAAGCATGTTTTACTTCGTAACATAGATAAAGGACCGGCGCGATGTTCAGATATGTTGTGCAGTCTTGCCGAGGAAGTGCTGCCGTAAAGCAAAATGTACCGACTGGCTTTTCTCGAAGCAGAACTACCGTTTCTAAGCGTTGTACTTATGCGCATTTATTATTCGTATTATACTAAATACGTTCTTTATAGCAAACACATTCGCATGAGATAATGATAGGTTTGGAAAGCTGAGGAGATGGCTTGGGGCTGGACATATTTTGCTGTAGCTTAGGTTAACTTTCTTACTTCTTAGACAGTTAGCCGTGTGCGTTGTTGTTTGCATCGGAGGTTGGGCCCTTTTAGTCTTATGGCAGTAGATTTCCAGTAGGTAAATTTTCCTGCAATACCAGGAATGTCACGGTGGAAGGATGCCATTTAATGCCATTTAAAGCCCAGCCATTCAAATGGTCACCCTGTCCCTGGAGGAATACGTATGCCCTTAATGGAATGTCGTTCACCGGCTGCCTGGATGGGATCCTCGTCAGTCCGGACACGGAAATAATTTGGTCCTGATGAGAGTGAGAGGATGACACATACTTAATTCCTTCGTAGCCAGGTATATCATTTACGCAGCAGTGCTTCTCTTAGATAAATGCTGCCCGTATAACCCCGTTTCACTCAATATACCCTGCGTTTAACCAGCCCAGCCTGCACCCCGGTGGCCACGGTGTGCTGGCGGCTCGCGCTGGTGAGCTACGTACGCTGCGCTACCGCCCGCTGTAGGCGTCCTCTATCACACCGTCAAACACCCGTGCAGCCCTGCTGGACAGCGGAGGTGGCGCTATAGCCGGTACTATATGTAGTGTGAGCTCGAGCCCAGCGGCCGCGCCAGGCGCTGCGCTGTAGAGTGTAGAGCATTGTGAGAAATTGGAGCGTATTTGATTGAGCTTCAGCTTGGCCCGATTCTTCATTAGGTACGTCGTTTAGTTCGCCCTGCTCTCTCACACTTATCCCACGCTCAGCCCAGCTCAAGCTCAAACTCGAACTTAATGTCCAATTAGGTATATTATACAACAATGATAATTATAATAATCATTCAATGTCCAATGATCGATATTCGATCAAACATCTATGTATATGACGAACAGCCGAAGTCGTGCTTAACACATTTCCGTGATGAGCCTCGACTGATTGTGCTACTTTGTACGTTGGCGAGACACAAATAGAGTCGATCGTGCACCGATACTTATTTTAATTTACGAGTAGAAGGCTCAAACAAGCACTTCTTTCGGAGAAATATGCACATACATTGCAAGAAGAAACACAAAATGAGACCAAACACATATTCGCACATTTGACGCCTGTAAGACGATGTCTGATGAACCGAAACCGATGCCTCAGATGCGTTCGACCCGGAACGAACAACACGGCAGTGTGCACCCCTGCACTAGCCACTTTGTGTGCACGTGTACACTGTGTGCAGCTAATAAGGTGAGAGCATGCACGGTGCACGGAGCACACGGGTTTACTGGTCAAACACGACCGGTTCGGGATACGAGTCCCGAGATGTACTGTTGCGCTCCAATGGTCCGATAAATATAAACGGTTCTGGATGTTTTGCATAACAGGTGGAAGAGGTGGAAGCATAATCTGAAAAGGAGGTCGAATTCGCATTGCAATGACCGCAACTTTGCAGGTATAGGTACATTCAATGCCTCATGATTCGGGTGCGGTATATTCTAGTTATTGTGATAGTTGAGACCTTCATACCAGGAACAGAGACCTTCATACAGTATAGGCTCTTGTAAGGTTCAGAGGTTTGAGGTAAAGCCTCCATGAAAAGAATTGTCGAAAAGTTCAAATGGATGAACAAGTGAACAATAAACTGAACATCGGATTGATGTAGGTACAGGTACCTACATGTTGTTGTTATCTGTTGTTGTCTATCTGTTGTTTACCTTTCGACATATTCCTCAATCCACATACGTACCTATTCCGTTTGTCTCAACAAATGCGTAGATAGGCTAACCCGCATGGCCGCTACGCCATGCGGTACAGTCTACCTCACGAATAACACACACTGCGTCACTGCGTTGCAGTCCCTCCAGCGCCAAAACCAGACACCGCTAGCCGATCCGGACTGTAAGCTGTCACACTGTGGCCGTGCTATGGAAACATCCAGGCCTTGGCGTCAGCTGTCACTTGGTTGGTATCAGACTGTGGGGCATTGATAATTAAAAGTCGCGTTTACATGGCATCTTTGACGAGGCTCTAGCCAATTTATTTTACGATAATTTCGATGCAGTGATCTTTGCATATTTAGAGGGGATAATTTTGTAAATTGTAAAGCACCACTGGCATATTCTTGTGCGACATAACGAGCGGAGCTATTATCTTGCAACAATTCCTATGTAAACGGGGCTAATGATTGCACACGCTGGCCCCGTTTTCAGGGGCACTTGTGATCCGGTGTAACAAAATTTTCGTCTAATTTTTTTATTGAAAGCTTGTCGATCCTTACGCGGCATCGGGCATATATGAATAAGGTCACTGATTCCACGGTGACTGGTTGATTCATCCATCATCGATCAAACTGCTCACAATGTAGGTAGTTTTCCAGCCTCCAGGTCAGAGTTAAAAGGAAGGAAGATGGCTTTTATTTTCGAGTTTTCGTAAAAAATTTCCCAGCGAACAGCACATAAAACAATAACACCAGGTAAAATGTCTGTTGAATGCTTTATTTTTGCACGAGGAGCATTTCCTTTTCTCTCATATCAGCAGAGTGGCGCAGTGGAAGCGTGCTGGGCCCATAACCCAGAGGTCCGTGGATCGAAACCACGCTCTGCTAGGGAGAACGTTTTGGCCAGTTTGGATGGAACGATTGGTATAGTCGACTACAGAATGATGTCCCACTTTTCACAGGCAATTATGTATTTGCCTGGAGTGGTAGGCTGTGCCGCATCACACGGGCTAAGTTCACAAATTATAACTTTGTCCCAATGCTCACAATCGATACGCTTAATTGCGTGATAAACGGCATAACTTAGCGCTCCGGTCAACTGATAGCTTCTGAGGAGTGGAATATCATTCTGTAGTCGACTATACCTATTAGCCGCGATGAATACAGTACTGTGGGGCGATGATGCGTCTTACGTCTACTCCAACTGTCCCCTCCGTGCATGGGTGTCCCCTCCCCTGCATGTATGGGATGGCCCTCCGGCTGATATAAATTGTTATCCCACGACAAAATGACATCTGACCGCTGCAGATGAATGACATGGCCATGAATGAATGATGGTTTACGGTTTTACCTTTTACGCTATTTTATCGAATTAGAAGGGGTAATTCAATCAAAACATAGCAGAGCGTGGTTTCGATCCACGGACCTCTGGGTTTTGGGCCCAGCACGCTTCCACTGCGCCACTCTGCTGATGATGCCGTAGTAGGAACCCTCATGTGAAGAAATTCAACCTCCAGTGAACTCTAGACGGCTGGATTTTGACTCCAGACGGCTGGATTTCGCACAGACCGGTCAGCTGGTCGGCGCAGTCGCCGGAGGTACGAGCCTCTGCGTGGTGAAAGCCCCGCCCGCCGCCGGCGGCCGCTCACACAGACACACATACAGACGGTGCTGTGCCGACGGCCCGGCGGTCGGCGACGTTCGTCCGTCAGTCGACGGCCGACTCTGGACGGTGGAGCAGCTCGACGGTCGACTTACCAGCCCCGCCGGACCGCCCGACGCCGTCGACTCGCTCAGTCGGCTGTCCAACTTTACTTCGACTGCCAGCACTAAGGACTCCCGAACAGGACACCGCCACAGATCACTCGAGTTTCGGTTGGAAGAGCGGCCGAGAGAAGAAGACAGCAGAATGGCGTCGGCGAGGCTTGGACTGGCGTCGGTGGCGCTCGTGGTCGTTCTCGCAGGTCAGTCGTGGGTCAGGTCATTTTCGGGCAGGACAGGTCATTGCCAACTGCCAGTTCAGGTTAGATCACGTCAGCTTTGAGGACAAGACAATATCTGTTCAATGTTTACGTTAGCGATTGGTCAGGGTAGGTCAGTCGACTGTCACATCAGATCAGCGATAGGTCAGATTAGTGTTAGGTCGGGTCAGGTCAGGTCAGGTCAGGTCAATGTGGGGTTAGTGTTGGGTCAGGTCAGCTCAAGTCAGTGATGGGTCAGGTCAGCTCAGGTCAGATCAGGTCAGTATTGAGTCCCTTCAGGCTGCTGCCGGGTCTCATTAGCTTTGATCCATGATGTCACCACGATAGCCGAACAAGTTGGTGTCATTTCAGACCAGTCCACCTCAGATTTTATCCGTACACCGGAATAGCAAACGATGCACCTATTGAGCAGGTTTGCTACTCGTTCTGTTCATTCTTATTGCTCATCGGCCACAGTGGCGGATCCAGGGGGGGGGGGGGCAAAATGGGCATTTGCCCCCCCCCCAAACGGCATATTTTTAACATTACGCCTATGGACGATGCATGGAAAGAATCGATAAATTGTTATGGTTTGCCCCCCCCCCCCCCCAAACCTCTGAGCTGGATCCGCCTCTGATCGGCCATCACAACATGTAGTAAATGGCAACTATCAATTCTTCAAATTAATTAAGTTCAATTTTTCTGTTCAGGGATCTTGATGATAAGAGCATAACGAGATGATGTTTAGGGATTGAC